GGCTTTAGTTTAGTCATTTTTGAGAAGTAATGACCTGGAGTTGGGTCTTAGTTAATGGGAATGCCCAAGGCACTAAGTGTTAGGTTCTTAGAGGAATAAGGGATATTGTAATTAAAAATGTTTGATAAAAAGAAAGGAGATCTCAGAGTATTTTCAAAAACTGTGAAGGGTCAGAAATTTTACCCTACTTATATGCTAACAAGTAAGCCTGCTATAGTTTCAGGGATGCTTACATAAGAAACAAGACTCCTAGGTCAGAGACAAAGAACTCTTGTTATTCACAGTATAGCCAGCAGTGTGAGCTTCATGTTCATACTGCTTTCCCTTACCTTCCAACTCCCCCAGGGCAGTGCCAAGGTGAGTTCAGGTGTATGCTATGCACACAGTGGGTTTGTTTTACTGCTGAGGACCCCAGTTTTAAGGAACCCAAGTCTATTATAATGAAATGAAATGATCCCCCTGTAGGGAAATATAATCTATCCTCAAAACAAACAGACCTACCCTCTGCTCTGAAGGGAGACACTGTGTCTTTCAAGGCTGTTCACTATAAAAACAGTCTTGAAAAGATAGTCCAGAACAAAGGTCATCAATTCTTGTGCTCACAAAGTGCACGGAAATGTGAGAAACCCACAGAGAATTGCCTCTAAATAAGTTTGTGCAACCATTGGGGAATAGTCTTGCACAAAGGTGTACCAGAGATAGTTAATTTACCTAGTGATAATTTTAATCTGTTGTCACCTCCAAACTCTTCTGGGGAAATTAAGTCAACACAACACAGGTAATTGTTGATGATGAAAATTGAGAGCAGCAGACATTCTGTATCCACTGAATGGCCAACACCGTTGGAAACATGAAATAGAAGGTACAATGCATGCCTTTCATTTTACCCAAATATATGTACTTCGCACAGAGCCCCACTGGACTGCATGTAACCAGCCTACCTCCTTAATACTGTCTCTGATCTAATTTCAGGATGAAATGTTAGAAAGTTGCCTCTGAATTGTTACTTCCCAGACATGCCCATATATTACTGTAGGGCCTAAAAACAGTACCAATTTTTTTCCTTGATATTCTTCCACTGAGTAAAATATGTATTGTAAGAAAACACAGTTTCCTATGCAATTCAATAAAACTATTTTCCTTTTCAGTGAGAAAAAGACACATTTTTCCCCAAGTTTGACCTCATGGACCAAAAAATAGAAAATAAAAACAGATACTTATTACAAATCACATCTAAGTAAGAATTAATGGTTCTATGAACTTGCAAATTCTAAGTGAATTGTCAGTCTCACACAATTCAATCACATACCAAATTCCACTGAAATTCCTTTAAAATGAAGGATGACATCTTTCAAATGATCATGTTGGCTTCCATTTTGTTTTAGGAAGAGTAACTGAAATATAAAACAGTTCTAAGGTATATTTATAAAACCTTCATACCTTCAGGTTAGGTATTTCATGAAAATCTCTCAACTCTTTTGAAAAGTTATGAAGCAAATGATAAAGTAATGGTGGACTGAAACCTATATTTCTTTCCTTTAATACATCAGTGATATTTACAAAGACCTGGCCTTTTTTTTTTTAATAGAACCATCTAACACATGCCTTCTTAGCAGGAACAGTATCACCCCCAAGGGGATGAATATTGGTTCTTGGGGAAGTGGGCAGAGAAAAATCTTAGATATTACAATTGTCTGTGGCCTTCCAAAGGGCCATACTATATAAACAGATATGCAGTACATCTATTGTATTAAATTTTAATGGTGGGGGATTAGGAAAAAAGTGTCTAAAAAGGCTTCTCAGGGGGAGGGGGAAACTAATGAAAAAAAAGTGGTTTAGTGACCTAGCATACTATTTTGACAGTGTTGTGTTCAGATGGCAACCATTAATTAAGTAAAGGGATTTATTTTTAATTCCTCTCTGTATCATATTTGTTCCATTTTCAGTATATACACAATATAATTACATTAAAGAATTTTAATGAAGTGGCATCCATGTCATTGTTATAATTTTTAATGTTTTAAAATTTAATAATTGCATATTATTTATGTAAAATCATAAATACACGCTGTTTTATAGTCTGTTTTTTTCACTTTTATACATATATTTATTTTTCTACATAGTCTTTATAATGACTATTTTTATAAGGATGAATGAAATTCAGTTATACTGTGGTTCTCTTCTGGTTGTATTTTTATATCTCTAAAGATTCCTTTCATGTCTTCTATGCAATTCTGCTTCTCCTGACGGCCTATTAAAAATTGGGGTCCTCAGGAGTTGCATCCTATAGTGTCTTCTCTTCTCATATAGTATATCAGGGTGATCTCACCCATCTTCCAACAGTACTCAAATCTTTAGCTTCAGCCCAGACTTCACTCCTGGGGTCCAGACTCATATTTCTAACTGCTCACTGGATAGCTCTACTTAAATATTCCTTTTTTTTTAAAAAAAAAAAGATATTATTTATTTATTTGACAGAGAGAGAGAGAGAGCGAGAGCAGGAACACAAGCAGGTGGAGTGGGAGAGGGAGAAGCAGGCTTCCCGCCAAGCAGGGAACCTGACATGGGGCTCAATCCCAGGACCCTGAGATCATGACCTGAGCCAAAGGCAGACGCTTAATGACTGAGCCACCCAGGCGCCCCTCTACTTAAATATTCCTAAAAAAATAATCATATTTTCTCATACCTGTTTATCCTTGATCATCTAGACTCCTTTCCTCACCCTTGACCTCACCCCCTCAGCCAGGTCTTATTAACTATATTAAGACCTTCAAAGTATCCACCCTCTCCATTCACTCTTCTATCCTTTTAGTTCGCTCCTTTATCTCTTAGACAGTTACACTACATTCCTAACCATTTCCCTGTCTTCTGTTACGCCATACTCTGAGTCATTCTCCACAGTGCTGTCCAATAAGTCTTTCTAAAATGAAAATCTAATCAAGTCGCTTCCTGTTGCTTATAGCTGTGTTTCCCAATACAGTAGGCACTAGCCACATATAGGTAATGAGCACTTGAAATGTAGCTAATCTGATGTAATTAGCTAAATGTAGCTAATAAAAACATGCTAGATTTCTGAGACTTAATCTGATAAAAAGACTAAAAAATAAATATTTTTGTATATATTGAGTTAAACATTAAAAAAAATTGATTTCATCTGTTTTTAAATTTTTTTAAATGTGGCTACTAGGAAGTTTAAAATTACTTACGCAGCTCACATTTTTGGCCTGCATTTTATGTCTATTGGAGAGTGTTGACTTATAGGATAATGCTCAAACGCATATCATAGAATTATGATCTTTTATCATCTGGTCACCATATGCCTAGTCCATTTTGTCTTCTGTTAGCTGCATGCAAAGAGGGCTGGTCTTGGTGTCACATTGACCTGGGTTCCTACCTGGGACCCTCCACATGCTAACTGTGTGATCTGGAACGAGATCCTTAAAGTCTAAGTTTCAGTATCCCCAGCTGAAAACAGAGATGATACCTATTTCAGTGTGTAGCTGGGTTAAAAGATACAACATATGTAAAGTGCTTACTGCCTAAAATTTCATTCTCCCAGGTACATTCTAACCGTACCAAACTACTTTCAGTTCCTTTTTTTTTCTATTGTAGAGAGCAGGTGATGGTTCAGATGTGTCTGCAGCTTTAATATTCCTAAATGTGCATAATCCCCTTTCCCTGGTTAGTCACTGGGGTTCTACTTTCCTTTTATTTGTCCTGTTTTTACCAGATTTTGGACCTGAGAACCTCTCTGCTTCCCTTTGTTTTTTATTTAATATCATATCCTAGAGAATTCATTTTAAAAGAACAAATGATTGATCTCAAGTCAAATAAAGGGCATAATCAAAAAAGGTTTTAGCTTGTTCTTGCCCTGTAAGAGAATATTTTTGTGTGTGTGATATGATACCCCATAGTCATTCTTTAAACAAAGTAGGATTTAAATTTAACTTTAGAATAGCTCCCAGGTCAGTTTTTTCTCCCTCGCTCCTGCCTTCTTCTTCTCTTAACCCTTCTGCTTACAAATGTCTTCTACCCCAGACCCACACATTTAGCTACCACTCAAATTAGCCACTTAGTTAGGGTCCTTTTATTGTCATCTAGGCCAGATGGGAAGATGCGTCTCAGCTCTCTGTGGATTATCCACAGTGTAGTAGAGTTTCTGGCAATAAATACCTTGAGACAAATGTTCTAACAAATCTTTAAAGTGTTTTTGATGGCCAGAATTTTCAAAGATAAGGGTAGGGTAAAATGTTTTAAATGCATTTGCATTAGGAATTTCCATGCACATCTTTTGAATCTTAACAGTTCTTTCCCATAGGAAAAACTTAGAAACACAACAGCATTCTAAAAGGGATGATGAAAAAAAAATTAAAAAATAAAAGGGATGATGACACTCTGGCTAATGTCTCTCAAATGTAAAATGTGGCTTTTCAAATGATGTGGTCACCTTTTCCTTCTACAATGTCAGCATTCTGAAATGGGTAAAGGATATGGATTAGGTAGGAATTGAATGCAAATGTGTTTTTGCAAATAGTGTCTTTTGAGATAATCGCAGATGATGGTTGAATGCTGAAGGTATTAATACAATCAGTATTTAACCTTGTGTAACTCTGCTTCATCAAATCACGCCCCGCACATTGATTGCATTAAGCCAGGTCATTGGTTTCTTCCTTAGGAATATCTTATAAGAATCTTAACAGGAAGGCAGCAGTAGCTGATCAGCTACTGTTTATTTGCATACTGAGCATGTCATCAATAATACAAAAGACAAGGTCCTTAAGTTGAAAGAACAGTGGGATTGGCATGAGTTTTGCTTAATGGTGCATAATAAGCAAAGTAGTCTGTGGTGCCAGAAACTGACAGGAACCATTATGTTTAAACAGATACACGTCTTTAATTTAGGGATATTATGTAAATCTGACAGGAGTTTTCCCCCTTTATTTTCCTGTAGTTTAACTTGAATTGCTCCAGAATTAATTCTGATTTCTCCCTCCCTCCAGAGGGTGATGAGACTGGTGTGATGGATAATCTTCTAGAAGCCCTACAATCAGGTGCAGCATTCCGAGACCGCAGAAAGCGGATTCCAAGGAATCCAGGTAAAACTCATTCCAGTTTGCATGGTATTATAAAATGTGAATGTTCATAGCCAAATACCACCCCCCAAAAACCTTCCCCATGAATTTTTTTTAACAGTGGATCTCAGTTCATGTGTTAAAAAGTCTCAACATGCTTCTATGTCTATGTGATCACAAGTTTCACCTTGGCAAAGGTATCTTCAAATAACTGTAGACTTTGCAAAAAAATTTCAGAAATAAGGACTCCTGCTGTGTTTAATATTAAATATTTTAATTGTTGTTTTATGTGCATGTGGTTTGGGTGGAACATGGTTTATAAAACCATAAATGTAATTAAATCATTAAAAGTAATTGGCCCTAGGGATGTCACATTAGCTATTTACAGGTAAGGAAACTGAAATAATGCTTCTTTCTAGAGGTCATTTTGGCTTTGTAGTATAATCCATATTCATTCTCCATGTTAATAAAGAGAAGAGGGGCACAGTGGTATTAGAAAATTGTCTGTCTTCTCTGTTCATATGCTATGGCTGAGGTAAATAATAGTTCCTCTCAGAATAATCCAGGTAGCTGAGCTATCCACCTCCTTTAAGGAAATTTCTATATTTTTAGTTTATATCTTCTTCGAAGAAGAGGAAGAAATTAGGTATATTGATTTTAAAAGTCCTCTTCATGGGCTATGGAGCTATATGGGGTAGTAAATGAAAAAGGAGCATTAGTAGTAAACATGTAAGTTCTCCTTAATTTAGATTAATAAGATTTGCCTTGAATAGCCTACAATTCAAAAAATATTCTGTATTTGGACTGGAAACTAACGTATATCATCAGAATACAAAGTGGTAGCTCTTAAAACCATTGTGCTCCAACAAAACAGTGAAAGAAATGGAGCCCAGTACAGTTGTCCAGGAAAGCTTTTGGCAATGGTGAAATTCATGGCAGAAGACAATATAAGTTATATTCATCTTTTTTACATTTGGGTGAATTGTGATGGATATGAAGACATTGAAGATGGCCTACAAAAAGAGTAAAAGACTGGAGGAAAGAAAAGTAAAATCTCTATTTGTATATTCATATTAATTTTTTAAGGTAGTGCTGCAGAGCAGAATATTAGGAGCACTAGTAATCTGTAACTATGAAGCAGCCATTTCATCTACTCTCAGTCTTTATCTGTAAAATAAGAATGTTTTACCATGCTATCAGAGACCCCTTCCACCTCCTAAGGAAAATAGAAACCTTCACTGTTCTTTCTTGAACTATCAGAGTATTAACAGTGAAAAGCAAACTGAAATAATTTTTCTATCAATTCAGTTCTCTGTTAAGCAGCTGATAAATATAAGCATGTTATTCCATACCATAAAAGAACTGCCATCATCTTTCTAGGCTATTTATTTTTAAAATACATTTGCTAAGGCCCATGTTTGATTAGGCTCACATCTCATACTGACTCTAGAAAGATTGTACTGAGAAAGAGAGAGATCATCTAATAGGGTTTCTCTGAGTTTGGTACGCAAGGGAATATAGTGTCATCAACTGTGAAACACCAAGAATAGATTCACAAACTGCATAATTTCACAGTACTGATTCCAAGTAATCCAAACCGGGACCTCCTTTGGTTTGTAGCTGGAGTACCTCCATGAACACACAGGGTCAAAGATATCAGCCCAAGTAGTTCTGGCGGTCCTTCCAAGTGACAGCAGCCAATGCAAATGTCCAGCGGTAAAAAGAAACTAGAAGCAGACGGTGGCAATGATTGCTAAAGCATCTTGAGCATCAGAGTTCACGCGAGGGAGAGGGAGAGGCAGGCATAGAGTTGACAAGTCTGCCAAAAACTCTCCGATTTGCTTGCCTCTTTCTAGAAGCAACAGAACTGGGGATTTTCCCAGATTTCTTCCTTGTTTCTGACTTTCGTAACTAGGTATCTTTTTCTGCTGGCCTCCTTTTGTTTTTACTTTCCTAGGTACCTTATTTGGTTCTTTTTCAATGCCCTATTGACTTTATATTGTTATACTTTACCTGTTCAACACCAGCATTCTTGCTTCTTTCAATAACCTCCACTTCAACATGATGAGATAGAAGCAGAAAAATCAAATTATAAAGAAGGCTGTTTTTATCAAGTAAAGTAAAATAAGAGGGAATAGTCAAAAAATCTGAAATTGGAGTGAGTCACAAACAACAAAGACGTACTGCTCTGCTTGCCATCTCCATTATCACTTACAGATGGAAATTATGGTATGTAAAATACAGAGCTCTACAATTGTGCTTTTAATTGCAGTGTTTTCGATTCACTATTTAAACAAAATGAGGTGATGATTTATATTCTTCATTAGAAAATCAAAATGTTAGTAAATAGTATGATTAGTTGCCTAAATTATAAAACTTTCACACTGAGTCTATGTCCCCTCCCAGGATCTACCAAATTAGGCAACTCTGAGCTCCCAAATATTGCCTATATCCCAAATACTGAGAGTGTTGTTTCAGCTAAGGGTCCCAAAAGACATTTCAAGGGAGACTATTATATAAGGAATGCTATTGAAAAAAATATTGATAACTAGTATAGCACAGGCTTCAACCAGTCAGAATGTACACAGGCAATAAGTAGCCACTATGTGGTACTAATACATATGGGCTGAATATCAACCCAGATTACAAGCTTTGCTAATACCAAACTCAGAGATTAGGAAATGAGCCCCTAAACATTCATTAATTTATTGTACATCTGTTCTCTGAAAGGTACTATGCTACACATGAAGGAAAATACAGAAAAAATTATGATTTTTCTTAGTTACAAGACCCTTGTGTCTTGTGGAAAGAGAAACGGTACAGAAAGACTACAGAATAAAGCAAAAAATAATAGGTATTATACAAGAGCTATTAATAATATACTTTGTGAGCTCAGAGGAAGGAAATACCATGTTTTATTGTATATATCAGAAAAAGAGTCATGGAAGAAAAGGTTTTGAAGGGTGAGTATGGATTTCAGCAGTTGGAATTGGAGGTAGGGGTAGTAGGCAAATGAAATGTCATTAAGAAAAATACAGAAGTAAGAAAGTGCAAAGCATTTTGGGAGCATGGCAGATAGTCCACCTAGTAAGAAAATAGGCTATATGAAGTGTAGAAGTATGGAGAGAACTCTGGAAAAGTAGGATGATGAGCACTGGGTGTCCTATGCAACTGATTAATCACTAAATTCTACCCCTGAAACTAATAATACACTATATGTTAACTAAATTGAATTTAAAAAAAAATTTTTTTTAAGGATTTCATTTATTTGACAGAGAGAGTAGGAGAGGGAGAAGCAGGCCTCCCGCGGAGCAGGGAGCCCAATGTGGGGCTCCATCCCAGGACCCTGGGATCATGACCTCAGCCGGAGGCAGACGCTTAACAACTGAGCCACCCAGGTGCCCCAATAAATTTTTTTTTTTAAAAGTAGGTTGATGCCACATCATAGAGTGCTTGAATAAGAGACTAAGGTGTTAGCATATAATTCTTTAGGCAATGGGGAACTATTGAAGGTTTTTAAGCAGTGGAGGAACATGATCAAAGCTATATATTAAGACATTTAATCTACAGGAGTGTGAATGATGAATTAGGATTCTTCTGTCATATTCTTAGTGAAAAGAGATAATTTAGGTGAAGAGGAAGAGGAGTAGCCAGGAGTCAAAGATAATCCCAGGGTTTTGAATTTGATTAGCTAGAAAGATAGTTGGGTTATTAGAGAAAACTATTAAGAGCAGGAAAAGGAGTAGTGATGGAAGATAAAGTAAGTTTTGGGAAAGTGAAACTGAAAGTGGCAGCAGAGCATTGAGGTCAAGATGTCCAGAAGTTTCTTAAAAGGATAGGTGTAGATTTCATCACAAGATGGTTGAGTTTGTAAGATTTCTGGGTATAGTATGGAAATGGAAGGGATTATTAGAGTGATTCTTCAGATAAAAGAGATCCAAAACAGAACTTTGAAAATGCTTTCACTTAGGGGCTAAAAGTAAAACTAGCAAAGAAGATAGACAAGGAGTAGTTGGACAGGTGGGAGGAGAATCAAAACATTGTTCTAGGAGCAAAGGAAGAAGAAAGTATTAAGAAGGCAGAAAAGGTGGGCATTTTCAACAATGACATCTGTGGTAAAATCAAAAAGGATAAAGACCAATGGTTTGCCATATGGGAGTTTTCTATCAACTTTTTAAGAGCATCTTTTCAGTATTTGGATGGAACTGGGAGCCAGAATGCAGGAACTAAGCAGTGAGTAGATTGTGAGGTTGCAGGGATTGATAGCATTAATTCAACAATTGAACAATTTTATTGAATGCTTCCTGGATGTCATGTACTGGTTCAGGTACATGTACCACCAATCAGGACACTTGCCTCAAGGGGCTTACATACCTTTTGGGAAAACAGGAATGTAAGCCATGTGATAAAATTGCAATGTGATTTTATATGTGTCGTAATGAGATAGGAAACGTGCTTGTACAGCACGGGAGTTTGAGTAACTTTCCCCACCCCTTCACCTCTCACCTATTCATTCATCCCTAGAATATGGACTATGCTTTCTAACAGTTTGGTGGGTGAAAGGAACATCTCACTTTTCCTTAATAACCTAGTATGGATTTACCACCTATGAATTTTGCTGAATCCTTCTGGACCCTCTTTGTGACAGCCTTTGTTAGTTCTCAAAGTATTAAGTTCCGTATGTTTACAATTCACTTTGGAAAGGATTACCCATAAGTATTCCTGACTTTGTCATTATAAGATCAAAGGTAAGCTTTGGAAGAAAAAGAAACACATGGAAAAAAAAAAAAAAAACTTTGCAGAAGTGAAAACCACACTTAAAATATAAATACACAATGCCACATCTGAAATCATTACTGAATAGCTATAGATACTTAGAACTTGCTTCTCCTCTCTCAACCAATTTGACTTCTTCATTCTTCGCCCACTACAAGTAAATATAAACAGTCTTCTTAGCAATAGATATCTAACTTAGCTATTTTGGCTATTACCAGATTTTGGCATATAGTTCCAGACATTAAAAA